AGCATTCATCATCTTTGCCCAGGTAAACTTCAAGTGTTTAACTTTCACATATCCTTGTTATGTATTACTGTTGAATAAGATGAGGGATCGGCCATTATGAGTATTTTACCATCATACTGGCGACTTAAAGGCTCTCGTGCAGGCCATCCGTATTACATTCAGATAATTCGACACAGAATTCGGCTGGCATCTCAAATGATTTCTCCAAGTGTTCCATTAAAGAAGTTGAGAAGCCGCAGGGGGACCGCATGTCTGGAGTTCCAAGATTTCCTCTCCAAGTTCCTCAAAATATCCCAGGTGTGTAATTTACTGAATATCAACTCAATATGGGAAATTATTGTTTTTTATTCTTTTAGGTTTCGTTTGGTGTAATGGATATTAGGTAGAGGGTATTGGTGTAGATTAACGTGGATAATATCTTTTGATTTTTCATGTCAAAAGAATGTTATTTACTATTATGTTTCTTATCTTTCCTAAACCTGTCTCCAACCTCCCTATTATGTGTTACAGTTGATAGTGCTAATGATTCTCTTTTGAACGAGAAATAAAAAAATACTATCTACCTTAATCCATCATAATACCATCTACATACTCCTATCTGTTATAATTTTATATTATTCCTTGTACAGCCTAATCTGGTGTGCCAAATATAGTAGCACTATTGTGTAATCGATCCATATTTTGTTCAAGTTTCTTGCTTGAGTGGCTATGTTACCATGGAATGAAGACATTGAGCTTTCGTTGGTTGTCATTTGCTCACTAATTCCTGTTTGGCATCCAAAAAAAATATAAGAAAAATAGTTACTTGAACATAGTGCCAAATGCTCCTACGTAGGTAAAGGGTGAATTTAATTTATAAAGTTGCTGTATATGGTTTTTAAAAATTAGATCAAAAAATCAAAGTCGTCATTGTTCATTTTCTAGGCCTGCACATGCTCTTGTTAGGGGCCCTTCCAGTTCTCATTTATTTCTAATGGCTGTCCCTTTTCACAGTAGGGGGTGCTGCAAGGCCTGGGAAGGTCGTCGGCTCTGTTTTACGTTACAACAATAGTGCAGCAGCCACAGCAGAGGCCAATGAACAGCGAAAAATGGTTAGGAATCCTGCAATGCCAGCACAGTATATTGTTCCCAGCTCGTCTTACCCAAGAAAGTACCCGGGCTGTAAGAATGAAAGGGGAGATGGTACTGAAGGATCCAATGGGGTCCAGCCAAAACCTGACATGTACATGGCTAGGAAAGTAGCAGCTGCTCAAGGAGGGTCAGGAAGTCACTGGCATTAACTTTATGGTACTCTGGTCGACTGGGATGGACACGATTTGATGGTTGGCTCATAACCTGAGTCTTGGTCGACTGTAAATTTTCTCATGTGACAGATTTTAACGTTCCTGTATTCCGAACAGGATGGCTAAAATAATCAAACTACGTGACTAACATTATACAGTTCATATCGATGCTTCCGAGTATGAGAAGAATGCGTGGATTCTCATCTATGATTATTCTTCTGTGATCCAAGATCGAAGTGGAAGATTTGTAGAACGAGATGAGGAAGCAACCTAAAAAGCTGATCTCGTGTAGGTGTGCCTGTATTATTTTGTGACTAAATGAACTCAAGTTGGACGCAGCAAAGAATTTCATAGTCCGAGATCTGCTTTTATTCGTCATGACAATATGTTCCTGTAGCTGTATAACTACTAAAACGGTTATTGAAAAGTGACTTCTACATTGAAATTGTATGATAATGTGGTTCTCTAGCCTCTCTACTCGTATGCTTGGAAATTACAGGAAAAAGGGCCAATGTGGTTCTCTTGCCTCTCTACTCGTATGCTTGGAAATCACAGGAAAAAAGGGCAATCTCTGTGTCCATCATGGTTGAAAATCCCAAGTCATTAAACTGTAAAAAAGATATTTTTTATGGACAATTATATTTTAAATCTATTGATATTACACTTTAAAAGTTTTTCGGATGGTCATCAAACTTATCAAATCATTATTTCATTGGTCACTAAATTTTAAAATATCTTTGAACCATCTATTTTATAAGCTGTTGTACATTACATCGTTCAATAACTCATCGTTAGAAAAAATTTGACAGACTCGCTAACGTTGCATATGGAAGTATTGTCATGGTACATTTGTCTTTAGTTGACGATAAATTAGTCAAAAATGCGCTTTCACCTATTAAAAAGGCTTGTAGAAAATGCGAATTTTATCCATTGTCTTCCTTTGTTTATATAGATTTTCATTTAGTATCATTTTTTATTGCTTTTCTTGTTCAGTGTGTTTTTTATAAGCACATTTTTTGGTAATTTGTCCTCGACTAACAGCATTATTGTGTCATGTCAATTTGTTTGCCATGTCAGCGAATTCGTTGAATTTTCTGAGCGTTACCGAGTAATTCATGAGATAACTATTTGATAAGTTCGATGATCATCCAAAAAACTTTAAAGTTTAATGGTTAGTGTGATAACGAATTAATAAGTTTGGTGACCATTTGAAAAATGTTTAAAGTTTAATGGCCAATGAGATACGATTTGATAAGTTTGAAAACTATATGAAATTTTTTAAAAATTTAATGGTCAATGAAAAATACTGTGCAAAGTTTAATGGCCATTTTTTTTAGAACCATGCTACTTGTACAATGAATTTGACAATAATTTTGACAATATGTGAGTTGAGAAGCAATATGTCCATTGATTTGAAAGATTGTTTTTGAATTCAATGGCAATGATCTATACACCTCACACATTGTCAAAATCATTGTGCAAATTCATTGTACAAGTAGTTTAATTCTTTTTTTTAATCCCTCATTCTCCCCGAGAAAGTTAGTACAGATAGCAAGAAACAATTTAAAATGATAAAAAAAAAAAAAAAGA